AATTAATATACAATCAATAGATTGCTCCTATTTATTCTTGATCAATTAGTCATAAGGGATTGTTTAGTCAGAACAAATTTTAAATATTTGCTGCCGGACTTTTATTCCTATTGCATATACAAGTCGAACAATCACTTATTCACCCAATTTATACCTGTGCAGATTTACCTCTTCGAATACCTGGATTCTCCGTTTTTTCTATCCCTGTCTTCATAAATTTAGTGTCTGACCGCAGAAATCTCTCCTTTCTGTCCCAGAATCTTTCGTCAACCCACACCTCCGCGCCCATCAACTCGGCATCGCTGTTTATCTACACGGCCGCTCTCGGAACGTCAAATCTCCATCCAACGCACACCACTACATAGGACTGCATCTTCACTGCAGCCGACAATCAACGATAGCTTCATTTCTTCCAGTAGGGACTTGCCTTCCAACCAATCTAGCCCGCACCCAGAATTCCTAACTTCCACTTGGTGTAGCTTTACGGGGCCTGCAGATGTTCTAACTACTGAACGCTGCTCTCTTTCCATCGATCCACTCAGCCCCCCTACGCCTGCTGCCTTGACAACCATCCCAGGATTAAAGCCGTTTCCGTCTTCCCAAATTATAAACGAACCCTTTTCCTCTACTAGATACCCGAGCTTCACTATTGAGCATAAAAGTTTTAGTTTATCCTCCTCTTTGGTACCAGTCGACACGAGACCCTCACTCCCCTCCGAACAACATAACCTCCGTCTTGAGCTAAGGCTGACTCCAACACCTCTTTCCTTCCGCAATGCTCATGCTCCATACAAGGACCAGCTCTCACCCAAACGGATTACTTCCACTACTGCTGCTACCTGTCCGAATCCTAAATCTCAGTCAGATTCCTTGTCAACCCGTTTGGCTGAGTTAGTAACACGAGATTTCCATACTACAGGGCTTGCTGGGTTCGATTCTGGTGGTCGGGATGTCCTTAATGAATGTGATCAAGCTGTCTCAGCATCTATTCAAACTACTGCAGCCCCGACGCTACCTGCCTCACGCCATTCCGTTCCTACCGGCGAACTCTTATTTCCTGCAAGACCGACACCTCGTCAGCCATCATTGGATCGATTGCATTCTGGACCATTCGAATGGGCTAGAATCATTCGAATAGGTGGTATTTCCTATCTCCTTTTAAAGGATTTGGCCCAAGGTGGTTCTTCTACAGTAAGCTGAAATCTTTCTACACCCTCAACTCAATTTGACAACACCACTCATGTTCTAATTACATAAAATATGTTTATTCTATTTTTTAATACTTGCTTTCATAGGTTTCCCGGTCTCCCTTCTTCATTTGGCTCTAACTATCAATAAATCAGCATGCGTACTTTCATTATTTTATCTTCAGTAGTTCTGTTTATCATCATTGAAGTATAGCTTTTATTTGCTCTCTGTGATTACTTAAAACTTTATCCATCACTTGAGGGAAGAGTAAAAATGTGAGATATACTTATTAAATCCTTTAATTTTTGTTCCCCGGAATTGCATTTACTGAATCTGTTTCGTATTTTTGGCCAAATATTTAGGCCCATCTATGTAGGCTTCATCAAATTTTGCTTTATCTAATTTTTCTATGTTTTTTGTGTGACGTTATAATT